GCAGCAGCTCTTGCTCTTTACGTGTAATTTTTGGGTGCAGCCCTCTTGAAGGACCAGGGATTCCCACAGTTTTGTCAGTCTAGCTAGGGATAACTGGTTGATCCTTGGCGCAGTATCTGAGGGCTGCTGTAATGACTCTCTGGCTTTTGTAGGTCTGAGGATGCAGCTGTGTGCCCCAGTGCCCTGTCTGTACTCAATAATGGCTGATGAGCACAGCGCTCCTGCCTGCAGTAGAAGGCTAGAGCCTAGAGTCTGTGTGCATCCAGAAAGTCTTTTGGAGCTTGGTGCCCTGAGCATTGGACCTGATGATCCCCCAGTGTGGGGTTTCCTCCTGACAGGGACACCCAGTCTTTGCTTTGGGGACAACCTTTCTGTCTGTGATGGTGAGTAGAACCTGCAGGCACAGACTTACGTGGCTCCGCCTTTCTGGGGATTGGGTGCCTGGCCATCTGCCTAAACTGGGTAATTTTTCCAGAGACCTTTTCAGGGTGGTGGTATCAGCTGAGTGCTCTGAGATCAGACCAGCTGTTTCCCTCCCTGTGAGTTTGCACCTGAAAGAGAAACTCAGTCTCTGGTGCCCTGGGGCCCGCAGTTCTATCTGAGGCAGTGAATCAGGAGTGCAGGCAGGGCTCTGTGCTGGTGCCTGGATCCCCGGCTCCGGCCCTGGGCTGGCTCCTGGGCGCCTGTGGAACCCAAATCTTTTCCAGGGGATGTCTGGGTGACCTAAGATCCATCCCAATCATTTCTTGCACCATGGGGTTATCTCTCGACTGGAAATTCCAGTCTCTGATGGTGTGGTGCCCACAGTTCAGTCTGGGACAGTGACCAGTTCACACTGGCCTATGGCTCTGGGCTGGAGACCAAGTGCCCTGCAGAACCAGAATCTCTTCTGCGGTTTAGCCGGGTGAGTTAAAGCTGATTGAATCCTCCACTGTGGGGTATCCTCTCACCTGGGAAACACAATCACTTGTATTTTATGGCCTTGAGTTCTGACTGCTGGTCACTGTGCCGATCCTGCTGTGCTGCTGGTCAGAAGGAGAGTCGTCCTGGCGCCGCCATATTGCCCTCCAAAATCTATTTTCAAAGAAAATTTTCTTCAAATGAAAGGCTATTCTGGAATTATGAGTCAAATGAACACTTCTTCCCTGTAACCATTTTTTCTCATGTGTGTTTGTCTTTCTCTATTGTTTTAGTTTTAGGCTTTAGAACAGTATCCACATAAAAACAATTCATGTGTGCTTATTTTTTATTCGCTTGTTTATTTTACAGGGATTCATATATAAGTTTTGTTTTTAATTGATTTCTTCTTCCCTTTCATCCCTCCAACTTCTCCCATCTTCACCCCACTCCCTCTCAAGGTCTCCTTTTCTTTTATTATTATACAGATATACATACATGCAGGAAAGCATACACATAATATATAATATATGATATATGATATATCATATATAATATATAATAAATATATAATGTATAATATACATAATAAAATAAAAACCCTCAAAAGAATTTATTCTTTGGTGAAGATGTTTTTATAGATAAAATCCTCTGGTTATTCTGCTATTCCTGCATTTATGGTTGTTGACACTGTTGTTATAGTTGCTCTTACAGTGCACAGAGTTGTCCCAGGGACTGTTGAATGCTAGGCAAAGGTTCTCACTGACCTAAACTCCTAACCCATATTTACTAATTTTTGTAGAAATAATATGAAAAATGAGAAGCTTAAAATTTGTGTTTATCATACTCATATTTTCTTGGAAGAAAGTGCTTTTGGCATGGCATAAGGATTACAGTGTGGGAGGATCTCATTATCTAATACATGAATGAAATCCTACTCTGAGCAGACACTGCTGAGTGGAGACCCTGGGTGTGCTGCCAGCTCTCCTCACACAGGCCAGGGCATCTAGGATTTCTATTGCTGCTTATGTTTAGTGCGTCACCCTGGACATCTGCTCATAGGGAACATCTGTTTCTTGTTTTCACTGGACTTCCAAAAAGAGAGTGGGGTCATTAGTCATTACGTGATGTGAAGTTATACAGAATACAAGCCATGTATGAGAAATAATGTCAGGAAAACCATATCCACTGTAATTAATTCAAAGTTTGCTTCATGCTGAGAGTCATTACAGGCATCATTTCCAAAGAGGCTGCCAAGCCACCACATATCCAAATACAAACTAAGTACTTAAGTATTTCTGCACAGCATTTTTTTATCAAGAAATATTTGTACTTAATTATTTTCTGAACATCAAAGTAATATATGTAATGAATAAAATAAGGTACTTATGTGTCTATTAATTAATGTTCAAACTATATTTAATGCTGTTTATGTTCATTAATACTTATTAAAATGAGTCATGTCTGTAAATTATCTTCTATTAATGTATTCAAGTTTTATTGACAATTACAAGTAATTAGCCAGTTATATATTGGACAGCTAAAAAATACTATGTACTAGAGTTTGTTTCAGAGGATAAATAAGCCACTGTATATTTTATACCTTTTATGTTCTTTTTATATGTGACAATGTAGGAAACCATATTTCTTATCATTTGAATTATGGTAATTATCCATTGATCTGAAGGTGTGTCACAGCATGTGGTTTAAATAGTTGAACAAAGTGGAACAAGTTTCTCCTGCTTTTAGAAAATTGTTTTTACTCTCATGTGTCCCATAAAGTCTTTCTAAAATGTAAATGAAGAACAATAATAAATCATAAAATGCTTATACTCCTTTGGTAACTTAAAGTTTTAGTACAGATTATGAACATGACTGTTATTTAAAAATATTATTGAAATTGTTCAAACATTGAGTCATTTTATATAAAGAGCCCTTTTCCCTTATTTTTAATCATCAATTTAATTTTGCGGGCATTATGAATCAAGAGAAAAACTAACAGAGGAAATGGAATTATTTTAGTGTTACATAACATATACAAATCATGTTGGTTAAATTTCTATTTAAGTCAATAACAAGTTTTTTTTTTCTACTTTCCCTATAATTTACTAAATGATCAAGACAAAATGCTTGAAGAGACTACTCAGGTTGTTTGTAGAGTTATTGTTTGTGACTGGGTACCCACTGCCATATTTTTCTTTGTGTTTTAATTAGTTGTGGTTTTCTGTAATGGTCTCTGTCTGTTGCAAGATGTTTCTTTGATGGTAGGTGAGACCTATACTTATTTATCAGTATACGAATAAATATTTAGAATGTAAGTAGTAATTACATAGTTTCAGTAAAGTAGTGGCAGTTGTAGATTCTCCTCCAAGATCCATGACCTCACCAGACCCAGATAATTGGGTTGGTTTCCAGAACCGGACATCATTTTGCTCTCTTTGAGCAGGGCCTAGGTCCAAATAAAGAGCTGTTGGTTACCGATAGGTATGTGTGCCACAATTGTACCCTGAGGAATATTGCACAACACTGGTTGTTATTGTAGTTCATAAGTATCATATCTGGGCAGGACCACTGGTTGCTATTTACAGCATAATTCTGTACCCAAGTCCCAGAAATCATAGTTCAATAGTTGTAGTGGAAGAGGGGTCAGAAAGTCTGTAAGAGCCAAAGGAACAGGAGGTTTTCTGTGAGTCTGCAAATCATAGAAGAATTAAAGAGGCTCTCTCCATGAAGTCACATCATTATTGCTGCCTAAAAAGACTTGAACCAGAATGAAACCAATAGACATGCTACCATGGATCAGAGCAAGACCATGGAGCCTCAATTTTAGACAAAGAAATGTGGACAGCTAATGAATGCTGAGAGCAGGATAAAAGCATTCACCAAAGAAGACCCCACCAATTGCTTATCCAACACCAGTCATCTTTTTTTATTTCTTTTGTACCTGTTAAACTGCTTTGTGGTTTTCCAGCTGCTGATGGTTGTGTGTGGTGACTACAGAGGAGTGTATACTAATCAATCATGATCCCTGGTCATATTACATGAACTGAAAAGGTTGTATACATAATTTAAGGGTTTATATGAGTATTGTATCAGTCCTAATTTACCCATTCTCCAGTAAGGAACCTTCCAGGATGTATCTAAAAAACAACAACAAAAAAAAAAAAAAACCAAATTATAGTCATTGGGTCACAGACCCATAACATGCATGTGCATGTACACACACACACATCAGAGAGAGAGAGAAAGAGAGAGAGGGATTAAAGGAGAGAGAGAAAAATAAGATGAAAACTAGCTGTGAAGGATAAAGGGGTAAGGTATGGGAGCTGTCAAAATAGTGCAATAGGAGTTAAGTCTGACCACAGTACAGATTTTATATAGTCAAATATATAAAACAGTTATGGATATACGGCATCCCATTTTACATAAATATAATAAAATCACATATAATAATTATTCATGGTAAATGTCAACAAATTATGCTTCTAGAAAGTGTGTCTTTGAAGGTTTAATTCTTTTCTTAATATTTTTTTATTTTTAAATAATTTTATACATTCACTTGTATCCCAGCTGTAGCCCTCTCCCTCTTTTCCCTCCCAATCCTCCCCTCCCTCCCTCATCTCCTTCCTGCCCCCTTCTGAGTCCACTGAGAGGGGGTGTCCTCCTTCTCTTCCCTCTGGCCCTAGCTTATCAGGTATCTTCAGGATGGGGGGAAGGGGAAGCTCATGAGTTCATGTCAGAAACAATTCTTGTCCCCCTTACTAGGGAACCCACTTAGATACTGAGCTACCATGGGCTATGTCTGAGCAGGGGTTGTAGGTTATATCCATACATGGTCCTTGGTTGGATAAACAGTCTCATAGAAGACCCCTGTGCTCAGATATATTTGGAAGGTCTAATTCTATTCTTTGTAATGTGACAATAAAAGAAGCTGCCTTTACTCTTTTTATTTTGTGCCTGTTAAATTGCTTTGAGGTTTTTCTAGCTGCTCATAGTTACGTGTTGTCAACTGTATTCTCTAATTGTTAATTTATTGGTTGGACACAGTATATATGAACCGAAAACTAATACTCATTTATTTTGAATCTTATGTTTTCTTCTAGGATGATGTAAAGAACGAATACATACAAAGGGTACAAGAAAAGGAATGGAAAACTTTCAAGGTATGATAGTATATGTACTAGTAAAAGTGAAATACAGCTAAACATTCTTTCCTGAAAGCCGTCTAATTTTAGCAACTTCAAGAAGTATAACTAACAGAGAATAAACTCATAATGAATGTATGCAGAAATGTTTCTAAAGACAACAGAGTTATTTATGATTAAGGCAAAATAATTTATCAAATCAACACAGCCAAATAAGTCTCACATATTTGCCATATGCTAAGCAGTTTAGATGTCTTATCATTTCCTCTCCTTTAACTGTATTAGCCGACTGAGCATTTTATACAAGAAAACAAGGGCCAGAAACATTAAGAAACCAGACATATTAGCCAGTTCGGTTGTAATTCTGTATTGTTCTCTGCCTTATTTATGAGTCATGAAAATGTGGGAGCAATAAGGATGAAACCGTTTCCATTTTTCCATATAAACAGCACATGAAAAATAGTGATGTCAACATTAGATATTTAGATATTAAACTAAATTTTGTATCACTTAAAAAAACTGCCAGAATCATTATCATTGTTACCTTTATCCTCAGGCTACCTTAAATTCTTTGAAATCCACAAAGGGAGAGAAAAAATGAATGTTTCATTTATACTTTTAAAAAAAAATCTTTTGTGGAGCAGGGGAGGTAACAACTTGAATATTTTATGACACACATAAGGAATATTTTAATAAATGTAAAAATTAAAAATATACTGAAATATTAAAAACTGAACTGTATTTTATATTATCCCTCATAATTCTTAATACTTGGTATAGTCGAAATGACTCATTCATAGAAAGTAAATATGATTAAAAGATTTTAAATAGAATGTTTTTATATTTTTTCAACATTGAAACTAGGATAGGATTGTATCTCAATGATAAAGTGGATACTTAGTATGTTCTAGACAATTGTTTCAATCCTCAAGAGTTGTGGGAGGGGGTGTGTTAAACACTTTACTCCTACCCAGCTTCTTGATTGATTTGAAGGAAGCATTTTGAAAATGGGTCTCTCCTGAGCATTCGGTCTGGAACCCTTAGCTTAGGAGAAGAGTGATTACTTTAGGCCTACATTTATTTTGTTCCTTTATGTTTTAAGTATGTAGCCATTGACCATTGCTTAAGGAATGTACCAGAAAAGGTTTTCAAATAGTTGTCTCTACTATGAGAAAAACAGTGAAACAAATATTTGTGACAATCCCATTTCTCTCAGGCCATCTCCAGTGCCTCAGTCTGGCTGGACTGTGCATACTCTTGACTAAGGGCTGGAAAAATGTTTTTCAAGCAAATGGTTCCAGAAAACAAGCTGGAGTAGCCATCCTAATATCTAATAAAATAGACTTCCATCCAAAGTTAATCAAAAAAGATAAGGAGGACCACTATATTCTCATCAAAGGAAAAATCCACCAAGAGAACATCACAATCTTGAATATCTATGCCCCAAATACAAGAGCACCTACATTCGTAAATGAAACATTATTAAAGCTTAATTCATACATTGATCCTAATACCTTAATAGTGGGAGACTTCAACACCCCACTCTCATCAAGGGACAGATCAACCAGACAGATACCAAATAGGGAAATAAAAGCACTCACAGAATCCCTAAATCAAATGGACCTAATAGACATCTACAGATCTTTTCACCCAAACTCAAAAGAGTACACCTTCTTTTCAGCACCACATGGAACCTTCTCCAAAATAGACCATATAGTGGGTCACAAAGCAAGCCTCAACAGATACAAAAGGATTGAAATAATCCCTTGTATACTACCATGGACTAAAGCTGGACATCAACAACAACAGAAACAACAAAAAGCCGACACGCACATGGAAACTGAACAACTTACTACTCAATGACAGCTGGGTCAAGGAAGAAATAAAGAAAGAAATTAAAGACTTCCTAGAATTCAATGAAAATGAAGGCACAACATACCCAAATTTATGGGACACACTGAAAGCAGTGCTCAGAGGAAAATTTATAGCACTAAGTGCCTGCAAGAAGAAATTCGTAACATCACATACAAACAACTTAATGGCCCAACTGAAAACCCTAGAAAAAAAAAAGAAGCAGATTCACCCAAGAGGAGCAGACTGCTGGAAATAATCAAACTCAGGGCTGAAATCAATCAGTTAGAAACGATTAAAACTATCCAAAGAATCAATGAAACAAAAAGCTGGTTTTTTGAGAAAATCAACAAGATAGACAAACCCCTAGCCAAACTAACTAAAAAGCAGAGAGAAACTATCCAAATCAGTAAAATCAGAAATGAAAATGGGGACATAACTACAGACACTGTGGAAATCCAAACAATTATTAGGTCATACTACAAAAACCCAAATGGCACTAAATTTGAAAATCTAAATGAAATGGATAATTTTCTTGACAGATTCCATCTACCAAAATTAAGCCAAGATCAGGTAGAAAGACTGAATAGCCCTATATCTCCCAAGGAAATTGAAGCAGTCATTAACAGTCTCCCCTCCAAAAAAAGCCCTGGACCAGATGGCTTCAGCGCAGAATTCTACAAGACCTTCAAAGAAGTACTAACACCAATTCTCCTCAAACTATTCCACAAAATAGAAACAGAAGGTTTATTACCAAACTCATTCTATGAAGCAACAGTCACCCTGATACCTAAACCACACAAAGACCCAACAAAAAAAGAGAACTTCAGACCTATCTCTCTTATGAACATTGACGCAAAAATACTCAATAAAATACTTGCAAACCGAATCCAAGAACACATCAAAGATATCATCCACCACGACCAAGTAGGCTTCATCCCAGGCATGCAAGGGTGGTTCAACATATGGAAATCCATCAATGTAATCCACCACATAAACAAAATGAAGGAGAAAAACCACATGACCATCTCCTTAGATGCCGAAAAAACATTTGACAAAGTCCAACACCCATTTATGTTTAAAGTCTTGGAGAGATCAGGAATGCAAGGCACATACCTAAAGATAGTAAAGGCAATATACAGCAAGCCTATAGCCAACATCAATCTCAATGGAGAGAAACTTAAATCAATCCCACTGAAATCAGGGACAAGACAAGGCTGCCCACTGTCTCCATATCTCTTCAACATAGTACTTGAAGTCCTAGCCAGAGCAATAAGACAACTAAAGGAAATCAAGGGGATACAAATCAGAAAGGAAGAGATCAAAGTGTCACTATTTTCAGATGATATGATAGTATACATGAGCGACCCTAAAAATTCAACCAGAGAACTCCTTCAGTTGATAAATACCTTCAGCAAAGTGGCAGGATAGAAAATCAACTCAAAAAAATCAGAAGCCCTCCTGTACACCAAAGACAAAAAGGCTGAGAAAGAAATTAGGGAAACAACACCCTTCACAATCGCCACTAATAACGTAAAGTACCTTGGTGTGACTCTAACCAAGGAAGTGAAAGACCTGTTTGAGAAAAACTTCAAATCTCTGAAGAAAGAAATCGAAGAAGATCTCAGAAGATGGAAAGATCTCCTGTGCTCATGGATTGGTAGGATTAACATTGTGAAAATGGCCATCCTGCCAAAAGCAATCTACAGATTCAATGCAATACCCATCAAAATACCAACTCAATTCTTTACAGACCTTGAAAAAAAAAGATTCTCAGCTTCATATGGAGAAACAAAAAACCCAGAATCTCCAAAACGATCCTGTACAACAACAGATCATCTGGAGGTATCTCCATCCCCGATATCAAGCTGTACTACAGGGCAACAGTAATAAAAACTGCATGGTATTGGCATAGAAACAGAAAGGAGGATCAATGGAACCACATAGAAGACCCAGAGATGAATCCACACACCTCTGAATACTCAGTGTTTGACAAAGAAGCCAAATCGATTCAATGGAAAAAAGACAGTATATTCAACAAATGGTGCTGGTCCAACTGGATGTCTACATGCAGAAAAATGAAAATAGATCCATATTCATCACCCTGCACAAAACTAAAGTCCAAGTGGATCAAAGACCTCAACATAAAACCAGATACTCTAAATCAGTTGGAAAAAAAAGTGGGGAACAGCCTAGAACTCACTGGAACAGGAGACAACTTCCTGAACAGAACACCAACAGCACAGGCTCTAAGAGAAACAATCAATAAATGGGACCTCATGAAACTGAAAAGCTTCTGTAAAGCAAAAGACACAGTCATCAAAACAAAACGACTGCCTACAGATTGGGAAAGAATCTTCACCAACCCTTTATCTGACAGAAGGCTAATATCCAGTATATATAAAGAAATAAAGAAGCAGAAAAGCAACAAACCAAGTAATCCCATTAAAAATGGGGAACGGAGCTAAACAGAGAATTCTCGAAAGAGGAACATCAAATGGCAGAGAAACACTTAAAAGAAATGCTCAACCTCATTAGCCATTAGGGAAATGCAAATTAAAACAACCCTGAGATTTCACCTTACACCCATCAGAATGGCCAAGATGAAAAACTCAAGTGACAACACATGCTGGAGAGGTTGTGGAGAAAGGGGAACCCTCCTCCATTGCTGGTGGGAATGTCAACTGGTACAACCACTTTGGAAGTCAATCTGGCGCTTTCTCAGACAATTAGGAGTAGCGCTACCTCAAGACCCAGCTATACCACTCCTAGGCATATACCCAAAATTTGCTCAAGTACACAACAAGGACATTTGTTCAACCATGTTTGTAGCAGCTTTATTTGTAATAGCCAGAACTTGGAAACAACCCAGATGTCCATCAACGGAAGAATAGATACAGAAATTGTGGTATTTTTACACAATGGAATACTACTCAGCAATCAAAAGGGAGGAAATCATGAAATTTGCTGGCAAATGGTGTGATCTAGAAAAGATCATTCTGAGTGAAGTATCCCAGAAGGAGAAAGACAAACATGGTATATACTCGCTTATATAGACCCACAAGATATGATAAACATAATGAAATCTACACACCTAAAGTAGATAATCAAGTAAGTGGGCATGGGTAAAATGATCAATCCTCATTTAGAAAGACAAATGGGATGTG